TCGCTTAGGAAAGCTGTCGCTTGCCGACAGGATAGCTCATAGTTCGCTTGCTTCATTTTCAGTAGCGGTGGGAGTATCATCCACACGTTTGTGTGATGTTTACCCAGTGCCTGTAATACAGAAGGCGCAATGCTAGGTTGAATTCTGGGTCCTGAAAGCAAGTTGCTGCTGGTAAGGAAAAAGGGGGAAATTTTTTTTCCTATTTCTTTCTTGGGTCCTCCTGGTGGATTTGAAAAAGGAAACACAACTTGTACATTGTCATCTTCTCTGTCTGTATCCCTTTATCTGGGCAGCAGGTGTTTTTATGGTTCTTTAATTTTATTTCCCCACTGTGGCGCCCTTTCCCTGCTATATCCCTATAGCACTTCATTTACCAAACTTAATTTTACCTTTCTTCCCCTTTTAACCATTCCCATTCAAAACTCGCGTCTCTTCAAGGTGGCCAGTTACAGCTGGTCGTAGGAGAACAACTCTGCCTCGAGGTGCGAATAACTGATACGGTCTGGCCTGCTTATAACATCATTTGCATTTCTCAAAGGGCGAAGCCAAACGAATTTCCCATTTTACTAACTAAATGGTAAACTAAAGATGGGTGAACCCTATGAGAGGTTTGGAGTATGGTGTTTTTTGGGCAGAGGAGACCCAGCCTTCCTTGCTTGGGAGTTGGCCTCTGTGGTTAAAGTGGGGTCTGCTTTTTATGGATTCTCCCTTTCCTCCGCTTGCAGATTCTCTCGAGGGTTCCACGTACATCTGTGAAGATTCTTGTGCAGCAGCAGCAGCAGGAAGTTCCATATTTGGGTGTAGTGTGAAGGACCAGAGATGGGTTGGGGGTTGAGGGTGGGAGAGAGTAGCGGCTCTCTGGACTTACTGTTTGTAAATTGAATCTAAATTGAGAGCTAACTGTATTCGGGTATTTTATTTGGAAAATTGCACCTGCAGTTGGAGGATTAAAAAAATTGATCATGGTTGATCTTTCTTCCCCATCTATGTTTCATTTCCACACTATGTTTATGCATATGGAGGCAGGGTAATTCTGAATAATGGTAATGATAAAGGGCCATCATTACACAGAAGATCATTCTGTGCTCCTAATTAAAATTATGGCTGGAAATTGCTTCCTTATGCGTAGCTCAAATTGCGTTTGCGATAATTTCACTTTATGACTTCTAGTTAATCCTCTGCTTACCACCCTTAAGAATCTTTCCTCGTCCTTGCAGTTGACTCCTTTGAAAGCTTTACGGACAGTCTTGGTTTCTCCTTAGCTAGGAGTATCCCGATCTTTGTTCCTGTAAGTGTTCCAGCTTGTAAGCAAAATGGTCTCTGCTCTCTACTCTCCCATTGCACCGTTAATGAGTTCTGCTTCTGGAACACAACTCGATTTCATGTTGCGGTCCATATTATAAATTAGCTGAGCCTTGCTGATTCTCTGTCTCCCTGATGAATTCGTTGCTGACTGTCTTTCAGGCCAAGACTGCCACATGCTGTTTACCCTAATTAGTACTCTCTAATGGTAATCAAGTGACCAATAACTCACATGTTTTCAAAATGAGCACTTATTACATTCCATTTCATCCGTTATAGTAGGAAAATTACATATAATGATATTCTCCTTGGGATTTCCACTAAGAAATGTTTTGGCCAAGAAACATCTGATCATGGGGCCAGTATGATCAAAGAGCGTTTTGTTTTAATCAGTATTTTATGTGGTCAGTCTCCGACCCGTATGTTCCAGGTGAGACTTTTATACACGTAATTGGAAGGCTTGTGTGGTGATCTTTTTTTTTTTTTTTTTTTTTAATCCCATTGGATTTCGAGCATCACGCAGAACAGTAGTAAACTGAGAGAGCTGTGCGTTTGCTTTTCCCACAGAAGAGGAAAAACTCTGGAGAAAGAATGCCCGTGGCAAGGCGACAGCCCAGTTTTCCAAGCCAGAGGTTAGAAAAATCAGGCAATATTTGACTCTCTAAAGGAACGGTAGTAGAACTCTAGGCAGATTGCAGGAGAGCGCTCTGGGGTAAGCTCTGCAGGTCTGTGGTTGGTGCGGAGAAAGGCTTATTTTGGTCATTTGTTGAATGAATAAAAGAATGCTGTGTCCAGAGCTTTATCAGCATGTGCAAAGAGCAGGCTGTAGGGGCCAAGTATCTGCCCCTTTTGCTTGTTAATAGGAAAAGAGATGATAATTATGATTTTGAGGATATTTAAACATTGTCTAATCTTCTAGTGTATGTTGTGAGATTATTTATGTAAGGAGAGGAGGTTGTGGTAAAATAAAAAAAAATGTTTTAGAAGGAGATTGGCAATCTTTTGCTGTTTCCCTAACCTCGGGTACCAAGGGGGAAAGTTAGTTCATTGTGGACCCTCAGGTAGTCATTTAGAAATTGAAAACCACAACAAAAAAAGTTTATTTATTTACTTTTTGAGAGAGGGACAAAAAGAGCACAAGCAGGGGAGGAGCAGAGAGAGAGAGAGAGAGAGAGAGAGAGAGAGAGAGAGAGAGAGAGAGA